GAAACATTAATATTGAATGGCCCGTTCTTTGAAAGGCGTAATTTTACTAACTGTCCTGGGGATGTCTAAAAAAAAATCCTTTTTGAGTAATTAAAAATAGAAGATTTATGAGAAGCATTGTGTTTCACTGTACGTCGTCCTCATTGGTAGTATAATGAAAAAAAGGTATGAAAGGGGTGGTGCTTCTGAAGTACGAACGTTCATTTCATAGATGTTGAAAACTGGGCATTCCGAATAAATTGAAATTATTGGTGTGACCACTACTGTATGCGTGATATCCTAAAGTCTCTTCAGATGTGAAAGATGCCAAAAGAACTACGTACTAATTCTACTGGCATTGGCTCATTTTCCAAGAGGTCTACAAAAGGAGTTTTGCATTACATTATTTGTAATATAATACTGAATCACGTGGCAAGATATATTCGCCAATTATTCTTTTCAAAAATATATTCTATTCAATAATATTTTTACTGGCTTCAAATTTATAAAATTTAATGGCTTTCAGAACTTATTTAGTGATCTCTATACAAATTTCATATATTTTTTTATAAATTTTAAATAAAGTAATATTTTTATCATACCTCGATCCTTCTTTCTAGTAATGACATAATATATTATGGGATGAACAAGTCAACGTGCATGATTTTGAGTTATAGTATTGCGGGGGTTTCGATCAGTCGAAATTTGGGTTCGGGTTTTTACTTTGAGTGAGGACAAAATTGGGATTTTATAATTTGTTGGGCTGCAGGAAGAAATCCCTTAAGTGGCTTTAGTTTAAATGGATCAGAGTTGGCCCATTATGGTTTTACTGACAGGCCTACTACTAAGCAACTTGGATCCAACTAATTTGTTTTTGTTTAGCGCAACAGGTTTATTTAATGAATTAATTAATTATCAAGGGATGTGAATTTTGGCGTGTAATAATTGGCAGTAAATTTTATAATACAAAACTAGCAGTACTACACTTTCAGGATACTTTTTCAGAGAGCACTTTTTTATCATCTGTCAACACATGATAAACTCTTAAAATATATGATTAGAAATAGAAATAAAATTTTTTTCCGCACTAATTAAATAAAGCCGACTGTTTTTACAAAATATATATTGTTACAAGAGACAGTTTTGTTATCTTTTTACATTGAGGACATGCCTACTTCACTGATTTTGGTTGAAGACACTCACATAAGAACTATAATTAATCCTCTAAAGGTCTTAATCATGTTCACCAAACCTAAACACGAAATCAACGATGGATCCGGGGCTTGTTCCCCCTCTAATTTTGTACAAATAATTCGAAAAGCAAAGAAGACGATCACATAACTTTTTAGATTTACAGATGGCAACCATTCATTAAACATACAAATCAATAACTGGGTTTTGTTAAATGAAATTAAACATTACTAATGATAGGAACTAAGTTAATGAAGTTTAATTTCATATATATTTTAGCAATTTTAATAACTCGTCGGTCAGCAACCACAATTCAGAGAAATTTGCCTCTCGTATAAGGAAAACTTTCACAAAGACAAAATATAAACAAAATTGAGGGTTGGTTTTATAATTATAACTTTGTTTATTTTCATTTATAAGTAAATTAAATCTGTATCCAAGTTTGCTGCATGATTGAGTCCATTTGCATAATATCTTCTTTATCATTGCTAAACTACGTAGTGTTGGATTCCAGGGATTACAAAGAAGTAATTGAAAAAGAAATGAACAGTTTATTGACTTTTGGCTAACAAGCAAGACCTATGCCTATCATGCTACAATTAATTTCAAAGATTATTTCACATGTCACTTTCCTCCTTTCCCCGACACAAACATACATGCGTCTAAATATGGCAATATCCTATAGTTTTTTTCACTATGGAATAAAAGTATTAAACAAAATAACGGATCTAAATTTTTATGTATTAAAATGAACTTTTAAACTCAAAATAAAAAACTAATTCCTTCTGGAATGAAATACATTATAAAGGGAATATAATAAATATTTCACTAAAACTCTTTTTTCGTAAAGAAATGAATATATTTAATAACACATTTTTATATTACTTAATTTTTTGGTAACAACAGAAATTCCAGCCCAATGTGATTTGTTGTGTAAAGAAGCACTGAACAGTTGTTATTAGAGTGCATTGAATATTATAATTTTTAATACATATTAATTTTTACATGTAAAATATTAGTTGTGATTTTTTAAATTGTCAATTACGTGTAGGGTGATAAATAAAAATAATAGGTTAAATTTTACGTATTAATTCAGATACAAAAAATCACTAAAGTATTTAGATTCATTTAAAAGTTGAATTTACTTTGATCATTAAGTATTAATAAGGAATCATTAAAATTAAAACAAAATAATGAATCTGTAGCTATGAAGTAATAACTTTCCTCTAATTTCTTCCTTATATTTATATTTTAATTATATTTATATATATATATATAATATATATATATATAATATATATTTATAAATAGATAACAGAGGAATAAAATATTTTGTCACCCTTAATTGGATTGAAGTAAAAATTCCTTTCACAACCTATTACCAGACTACTTAAATAAAAACTTTTTGGTGGTACAAGTGACAAAATTTTAGGTAGGCACCTATAATTTGAACAAGTGGCGGTGGAACTCGCTCTTCATGTGTCTCATAACTTTTTAACAACCGTGGAAGTAAATAGCGTTTTTTTAGAAAATAATATATAATCAACTTAATTATGGATTAAAATTAATTATTACTATATTCTAATAAATTTTGTAATTTATATATATATATTTTAATTAACACGGAAAGAAGAAGAAAAATAATCGTGTTTGCATTTAGTACCTATATATATTTCAAAATTTATTAATATTTTTTTGAAAGAATATTGTGGCTAACTAAATAGTTAATTTATACTATTTACTATCGAATAATATATAGTATTTTTTAAAATTAATGTTTTATCTTCATATATTTTATTTAATATTTTTTATAATAATATTTACGTTTATTCTATATATATATATATATATATATATATATATATATCATGTATAAATTTTATTATAAATTTAATATAGTCTTCATATTTTATATTATTTTATTTTTTTAATAATTTTTTATGTAATAAAAAATAATTATTAGACTTAGATGCCATTATATATAATGTCTAATATTCTTTTATATGGACTATTAATTTCTAGTTAATAATTATATTTGTATATTTTGTTAAATTATGTTCATTTCAAAGGAGCAAAAGTATTTTATAGTTTGCTTAAAATTTTAAACGGGAGCTTATCTAGCTTATCGAAAATAAAATATAAAATATTTTTTAGTGCTGTCAAAATAAGTCGTAATTTGCGAGTCAACTACAGAGTTTGAGTCCGGTTGAGTTTGAAAAAAAAATGTAATTTTTTCATATGGGCTAGTTTTCAACTCAACTTACTTAGAACCCAGTTCACCGGGTTGAACCCAGCTGGATTGACTCACCAACCCACCTAATTTAATTTAATTATTTATTATTTTGTATTTCAATATTATTAATTAGCATATTTTTTATTATATTGTAGATGGTGATAAAAAAGAAAATGTTTCAAAAGAAAAAATATTATAAATTTATCTATTCAAGGCTCTAATATTATAAACGGACAAGTGATACAAAAATTATCAATATTAAAAACTTATTTGTTCACCTTTTGTATATGTTTTTGGATTAGGCTTGGGTTGTATGATCTTTTTATTTATTTATTTTGAATTGTTTTTGGAATTTAACGTCATTTTAATGTGAAATTTATTTATATTTGAATTAAAAAAATTGTAATTTTTTTTATTTAAAATTTATAATTAAATGAGTCAGTGAGTCAACTTCTTTAACCTACCAATCTGTGGTGGGTCGGGCCGGGTTCAAATTTTTTCAGCTTGCTAATAAGTGAGGCGGGTTGAGTTGGCTCACTAAGTGACCAACCCGTGGGGTGCCGGGCTGAGCCGGATTTCCTATTTTGACAACTCTATCATTTCTTCACTAAATATTTTTGAAGAATTTTCTGAAAGGTAGAATATATATTAAACGAATGCGTGTAGCCCCTATTTTTAGAAGGAAAAATTTCAGCATTAAAATATTTTCTTTGCATTAAATATTATTAAAATAGGAAAAATATAAGAATATCTCAGGAAAGGTAAATCTGGAAGGTAAAGTTCAAAGGAAAAAAAAAATTGTTGACACGACTTAAGAAATTAGTCCTAGGTATTGAATTAAATAAAAAGAATAATTTAAAAGCTATTCCAATTTAATTTAACCTCAATTTTTTAAAATTGGAATTTTGAATGAATTGGATTGATTGATAAACAACCACCGTAATACGTAATACTAATGTAAAGATGAGTAAGAGCATGTTGTGGTGTATGATTGGAGTGAATACGGGTGGTCATGATTTCATCAGCTTCTCGTGACTCCTTTTACACAACCATCCTTTCTTCAATTTTCAACTTTCACCATACAATATGTTTAACATATAATCCTCATAATTTTTTCTCATCCACAACTTCTGCCCTGTTACTCACGCCTCCACCACCCCACGTTAACTCATTTTATAAACAATAATGCTACTCAAATTTACCAAGCTTATAATTTATTAGACATCCAAAATATATACGCGGCAAATTTAAGACAACTTGTGCAAATTATAGGATCCTTATCTATGTGCTGCTCTAGATCCATCTTTCATATCAGCCTATCAGTTTAGACAAACTATTTATAGTTCACAGTCACTGCTTCAATTTCTGCACTGAAAACTCAGAATCATGTTGTTCCCAGGAGACTCCATTAAACCTGAATGGGTGGAAAATCCATTCCGGGGTACTGAATATCAAAATCACAAATTATACCTGCCACACTTTTGACTTAAATTCTGATTTAAATATTATTTTGCATATAGATAATAATAAAATAACAAAAGTTTTATGATCTTGATAGAAAAATTTCTCGGATCTCTCCCTATAAATACTTTTTCTTTGGTACCAGTTTCCACCACAAAATGTTCCACATGACTTCTTTACACTCACTCATGTTGCTCCTTCTTGGAGTGGCGCTTCTTACTACCCCAGTCCTGGCTAATTTCAACATACCCATTTATGAGCCTCCCCCAATTGGCATACCACCCATAACTGAACCTCCACCCATCTATCAACCTCCTCCAACTGAAAAACCACCCCCATTATATAACCATCCGTTCCTTCCTCCACCATTCTTCCATCCTCCATATGAGAAGCCACCATACCAACCTCCTCATGAAAAACCACCACCAGAGTACCAACCACCTCACGAGAATCCACCACCAGTGTATCAGCCTCCTTTCGTGAAACCACCTCCAGTGTATGAACCTCCTCAAGTTAAGCCACCACCAGTGTATCAACCCCCTTATGTAAAGCCACCTCCAGTGTGTGAGCCTCCTCACGTAAAGCCACCAGTGTATCAACCTCCTTATGTAAAGCCACCACCAGTGTATAAACCTCCTCACGAAAAGTCACCACCGGTGTATCAACCTCCTCACGAGAAGCCACCGCCAGTGTATCAGCCTCCTCACGAGAAGCCACCGCCAGTGTATCAGCCTCCTTACCAAAAGCCACCACCGGTGTATCAACCTCCCTACGTGAAGCCACCTCCAGTGTATGAACCTCCTCATGTGAAACCACCAATATATCAACCTCCCTACGTGAAGCCACCACCGGTGTATCAACCTCCTCACAAAAAGCCACCACCGGTGTATCAACCTCCTCACAAAAAGCCACCACCGGTGTATCAACCTCCTCACAAAAAGCCACCACCGGTGTATCAACCTCCTTATGTAAAGCCACCACCGGTGTATCAACCTCCCTACGTGAAGCCACCACCACCAGTATATGAACCTCCTCACGAAAAACCACCGCCAGTATATCCACCTCCTTACGAGAAGCCACCACCAGTGTATCAACCCCCATATGAAAAACCACCACCAGTGTTTGAACCTCCATATGAAAAGCCGCCACCGCTATTTCCTCCCCATTATGCGAAACCACCACCAGTGTTGGAACCTCCATACAAGCCACCGGGTTGCAGTCCCCCACCTTATGGTCACTTTCCACCATCAAAGAAAACCTAATAACAAGTGGCGGCTGTGACGTGCTTTAGAGGGGTCTTTTGTCAGATAAAGTTTTGTTTTGTTTGGTTTGGGTACTACTTTTAAGATTTCAACTTCACTCCACTCCTCCTGCATGCAATTGTAATTAAAAATAAAGGCTGTATCTGCACTATAACTTCAATTTCCCTCTCAACAAACATGTTGTAAAGTCTTTTATTAGTGACTTCGTCTATGGCTCCAATTAGCTTTTCTTTCTGCTGTTAAATCGTCTGCCTTGCTTCAAAAAACTTAAACATAATTCTGTATATGAACTTCATATTCACCGCGGTCAATAATAAATATTGAAGGAACTCACATCAAGATATTCTTTACTTTTCATTTTCTTTCAATTTTATGTCATTCAAAAGCTACTTATACGTTATTTTTTGGATTAAAAATAAGTAGATGAATAGTTCAGAGAAAGAAAGAAAATATTAAAGAAATTTGTTCCTCTGTGTGTATATTTGTTAATAGGAAAAAATTTAATCTACACCTCTTAATTTTTATACCCATTTCCAATACTTGATAAAAATATATTTCTTTTTCACTTTCTTAGTTAATTCATTTTAAATTATGTTATATTTTAAAATAAAATTATTATTTTATTGATGTTGAATAAATTTTGAATAGAAAATGATAAATTTATTTATCTCGTCACCCTTGTTAATAATAAGTACTCTTGCATATCTTTCACTATATAATTAATATCAAATATTTATAAATTTTACTAAAAGCTAATGTTTATTAAAGATATTATATATTATTTGATGCAATGTGATAATATGTTAGTTTTTTATTCCTGCAAAACCAGTTTGATATGGGTGGGTCATGGAAATCTATTTGATTTGAGTGTATTATTGACACGATGACTTGGCACGTGCAACTTCATCAAATGAAGTAAAGGTTCTTTTTGCAAGCATGAAGGTTTTCATCCGATTAACTATACCTCACAAACTTGGAGGAAAATTTATAAAAGTAATGTAATTTTTTTCAGTTTTATTAATCATCTTTGAAGTTGGGTTTAAATCACAGAACTTTATTTTAGAAAGGAATTACATTTAGATAACACGATTTTGGAACTTTTTTAAGTGAAGTCTCATTTCATCTGTTGTTAGAAAAATTACTAGCCTAAACAGAATTTTATTTGATTATTTTTATTTATAATAAAGTTGTGTATGCATGATTTCAATTTAACAGATATTAATCTGAATTTGTGTTTGACGATCACGACTTTAATGATTTAAACAAAATCATGATCTACATACAAGATTTTAATTTAACATAATTCTGCATACATTTGGTATAAATAAAAATATTAAATAAAATTATGTTTGTTCAATACGATTTTTTTAAATAACATTAAAATTGTGTTGGTTGATTATAATTTGACTTAAAAGGTCTCAGTCATATTACCTAAATATAATTTCTTTAAAATAAAATCATATCAGGAAAATACAACTTATTCATATCAATAATTTTTGAAACGAATATTGATTTCGATAATTTCTTTTTAAAAAAAGTATAAATTATAAACATATCCTTGGAAGCATGTTGAAAGCTGGAACACAAACTATGTGCCCTGCTATCATGGCATTATTTTTTCACGTATATTAGGGATTTGCAAATCAAAGCTACTACATGCACGGTTTTCTTCCATGCTTTTCTCTTTTATTTTGTAAATCATGTATTCTATTAATTTTTGTCTTAACTTTTCATTGCTTCTATCCATAAAAGTGCTAAAATAAATGTCTGACCCAGTTTAGGTGATTTCAACTTTTTATTACGAGACAAGTGGAAGGAGGTGTCTTCCTTAAGTTAATTTTTGGGATAATTATTCACCATGACTGTTGAATCTCGCATTCAATTCTTTGCTTTATTTTTCGTAATTCACTTTCTATTTTGGTCTTATTTGGTAACAAAAATTAGGTGAGATGTGGGCTGTGTTTCTTTTCCGGAAGCAATATGGTTTTGGTTTAGTATAATGCACATATCAAACTTTATAGCATCCAGTCTCATATAATGAGATCATGGGTGACATTTTTGGTTCAGTCATATATAAAAGGTCATGTGCACATCGGGAACTGATTTTTTTTTTTTGTTAGTTACATGTCCATGGGCTCATTTGCATTTCATGCATTCAAGTTTAGTTTTGGATAATTTTATTATGAAACATCAATTTCAAGCCATTTTGCCATAAATAAGGATGTGGGGTCCATGTTCATATTCATATTCATGCTTTTGGAATGTTTATCCCATGGTAGTGCATTCCGGCGTAGCTTCAAGGTATAATTGATGATGCGGTCCAGCCCATTCTATATCCATAAAATTGTAACATGCTTATATATCATTTTATTGCTTCTATGATCATGCACGCAGGGTTTACAAAATTCTTATAACCTTGAACTGTTTGGATAGCCAATATTAAAATATTTCCTTAAAAATATTTTTTTAATAAACATATAATTATTATAAATTTTAAGTTTCTTTTATATAATTTTGAAACTTATAATATTTTTAAATTAATGATATTTTCATCATAAAATATTAATTTTAAAAAATTATTAATTATCATATGGGAATCACTTTATAATTAAAGTTTTTGTAATAATTTTGAAGATTACTGGTTGTAATTATTTGTTTGATAATTAAAATTTTTATTTAAATAGAATCTTAATATTAAAACTTGAAAATTAGAAAATATCAATCAATTAGAAGTTTTCTTAATTATCATATATTATAATGTTTATGGTCTCGGTTGACATAATTTCAAAAGAATATTTTATAGATCATCGACGCTCTTCAACATTAAAACTAAAAAATCTTTTGGCGCGTTCCATTGAGTTCCAACTACATGAGACATTCGGTCATGGTTTTTTTTATTTATAAATGCATGAGTAAATATTTGATGAGATTTTAGTTGTGAGACTCCCACTGTTTTTGTTGTCACAATAGCTCTCCTGTCAAAATTCCGATGTAAAACATTAATTGTCAATTTTACAAAACTAATTAGTTAATTAATAACTTGGTAAGCATGTATATATAATGATTCTAGTGGTTCTCTGGTAAAAGTTTTCCAGAACGGTGTTCATCTTTAATATTATTTGTTTTCTCCCAATAATTTTCATTGATAGACCATCTCGTTTATCTTATAACCTAAAGATTATCAAGATGATACAAATAATCCATCCGGAGTACTTGTGAGCGTTAGGAGGTAAGTTGTTCAAATTTTTTGATAAATTATTTGATTGAAATCATAATTGATAAATAAGTATATTTTAATAAACTAACACTATAATAAGATTTGTTAAAATATTCTACAAGAATATTTTACCTAGTGGATTTTACTTTTAATTTGTTTAAATAGCTTGTTAATCAAGATTTGATATATGATCAATATTTCATATGTTAAAACTATTTTTAAACATGTTAAAATGTTCTAAGCTTATAGGATATATACTATTAACAATTTAATCGACTAAAATATTTGTTAAACAACTAGTTTCATGAATTAAGTAAAATTAACCGATTGTTTAATATTTTTAATGGATTAAATTTATCAAAAATTTTGTCTATAAAACAACACTCTTCTCACGTGAACAAACACGCTTTTGAAAGTAAGTTTTGTAAAATTTGTTTGAGCTGGAATGAGTGTTGTGTCATGTGAAGCGAAAAAGATCAAACTACTATCGAACAAATCTTGATAACATTTATGGATATTGAGTTCGGTAAAAATTTATTTAATAGATCTAGCAAATAAGTTTTCAGGTTTAGTTATTCTTTAACATTTTCTTGGTAGTTCTTGTT